TCTCACATAGTTTGAAATCTTTTAGGCAGATAAATATGTATATTACATGTTAACGGGTCCAAAAGAAGAAAACGCGGTTTCTTCAAAGAGCTGATGTGGTGGCTGATCGTCCCGAAACATGCGTTCTTTACACCAGAAACGTGATACTTTGTATCGCAGGCCACATGAATGTATTACCGGCAAGTTAGACGGTTAATCGTTCTTAATCTTCTCGGAAGCAGACGTTTTCTTCACATCCATAAACGCGACAGTTCTTATCAAAAGGTCATAGGAAAATTATGTGCGCAACACTTGTGAACAGTGCCTCATCCATCTAGGAAGATCGCAGCTAGTTGTGAAGAAAAATTGAATAGGTTTTCAACTAATTCTCCAATTCATAATAGCTGTGGCTAATTTACGCATTGCACGAAATTGTTTTGGATAACCACAATTCATTCACTCGCACACTCCGGTCAGTCACCCAACTTTTTTTTCAATTCTTTCCTTGATCGCGCTACCATTCAACGAATTTTAGCCGGTCAGAATTCTCGAAATAACCCACTAGGATTCGAAATCCTATCAAACTATTTGATATTTTTTGGGCAAAAGCCTGTCAAAACAAGGCGCACTTAGTATTGAAACCAGATGGAGGAGCGTGGGAATGAAGATGTGCAGTGCAGTACCCATTGAAGAATGGTTAATGCGGCCCCGATGCAATAGATTTATAGGCGTGAAATTGATCATTGTGATTTGGCTGTGGCAACATTTATTGCATTGTTCGTTTCTAGTGTTCTACTCATCGGGGAAAAAACAGTGCAGCGATAAATGCACTGTCGGTTGCAGATCAACAGGGCCAAGAAAAACAACAGCAATTCATCAATCCATTTGAGGCAGAAACGAAAAAAAAATCGGTAAATCTTAGCTTGAACCCCTTGAAGTGAAAATGATCATTTGCACGTCTATGAATAGTCACGGATGGGCTATTTCCATTATTGATACTATTAGCGGGATTTAAGCACCATTTAAGCAAAAAAATCCGTTAACATTGTAAATTCACTGACACGTTTTGGGAGGTTCTTCACGGAAAAAGAAATTAATTTAAATAAAGCGTCTGCGGTTTCAGCGTTTAGCTTGTAATGCTGGGCATAAAACAAATTTGTTCTACCTATCAGCAGTTTGGCCGGATAGAAATTGATCGGATATTGATTTTCAACTACTGGGGTTTTTAATAGCTATTTCAAGCATGATTTTTACATAATACGTTACTCGCATGGATCTCCAGGCTTTTGCAGTCACACAACTGAAAAACGTGAGGAATTTTGTTTACATTCAAATGTTAACAAAAAGTTTTGCTGATTTTTCAGGAAACAGATTGAGTGAGCGCCCTAATTTTCACACCTCTGAATAGAGCACTGAATGGTACTTTCAAAAGTGAAGCATCGCTGGAAAAATCGTCGCAGATTTCAATCAAGAAGTTGACTTCTTGTCTCAAGATAACTATTGGATTTACGCGGCTCAAACACTACGTGACTTTTTTGGTCATATTTCACGAATAGTTTGTTACAAAGAAGAGTCTACAAAGAAGTTCTTGTCGTTGGAGAGAGAACTAAAAGTCCGTTTAAGTAGGTGGAACGTGGGTGAATAAATGCTGTCAGTTTTCATACAGCAAACGAAATTATGTGAATAACTAACATCTAAGAGCAAGATTAGGACACAATTTCAAGTTTTACGCCACACTTTTGCTCATGTCTCTGGAATCAACTTAGCTAGCGGACTCAATTATTCACCACTGGATAGAGCACTAATCGGTGCTTTCAGGAGGTGAAGCACTGTTAAAAAATTTTTGTAATTTTCCCAGAAAAAAAAAGAAAGTTTCAAGAAAACTTCTATTTTTGCACTGTTGATTTTTAAAGTGCGAAATCGAAAGACACTGCCCTTTTCAGCAGATCTCAGGAACCATTTTGGCTACAGAGTCCGTTTTTATGTCGTTTCAAAGACAATTAGAAGGCCAATTTAGTGCGACGATGTGAGTGATTGATGGCATCATCCAACAAGCGAAATTTGACAATCGCACATTCAGGTGCAAGAAATGCTAACTTTTCTTGCATGATGCCACCTTTTTCTTGTGTCTCAGGAACAAACTGAACTACTCTTTAGAAGATAGGCACTAAAGTTGCGGAAAGTTTCGTAAAAATCGCGTCAAATCACGATTTTTTGTGCTTAACAAATATGAGTCTCAAAGTTGATGTTTTCGGTCCACTGTGTCCATTTAGAAATTCGTGTTTACCGACATAAAGAAGGAAAAAATTTGAAAATTTTCCAATCTTTATAGGAGACTCTTTTGACTTTCTGAAGACTGGCAAAAAATTCTGATTTTTGTTAGATTTGAAAATCTTAGCCTGAAAAATGATGTTGATTCAGTGAACTGCGCTCTCTATTGAAAAATTCGTATCTCATAACCAAAAGCAAGGAGCGATTTGAAATGTTCACATTCTTTAGGAAAAACCCGGTTTTAACGATGCAGCAAGTTTCAGGAGAATTGCACGAAATGTTGATTTTTTATAATGTCTGGTAAATTTGAGTCTCAATGTTGATGTTATAAGTAAACTGCGCTTTCTCGGTTAAAAAAATTGCATTTTTCAACTGAATCAAGCAGCAGTTTCAGATTTTGACAGGCTTTAGAAGATACTCCGCTTTACATATTGTGAAAGCTTCGGCAAAATTGCAATAAATCACGCTTTTTCTCAGTTTAATGTATGTGAAAGTCTCAAATTGACGCTTTCGGAACACTGCGCTCTCTATTAAAAAATAATTTTATCCTCCAAACTACCGGAAGGAAAAATTTGAAAAGATACTTATTCCTAACTATAATCAAAATTTCGAAGAAAGGCACAAAATCATGACTTTTGTTCGATTTGAAGACGATTGTGCGAGTCCCAAAATTGATGTTTTCAGTCAACTGCGCTCCCTCTTTTAAAAATTCGTCTCTCATAGCTCGAAGCAAGGAGCAGTGTAAAATGTTGACAATATTTAGAAATCGTTCGTCGCCAAAGTCTGGAAAAGCGGGGTGGAAATCGCATTAAATCTTGAATTTTGTCAGTTGGATAAATATGAGCTTTAAAATTGATGTTTTCAGTCCTGTGCTCTCTTTAAAAAAATCGTTCATTTCAAATTGAAGCAAAGAATAAATCGACACTTTCGGAATCTTTAGAAGATGCTCGGTTCTAACGATGTAGAAAATTTCGGAGGAATTGCAAATTTCTGATTTTTACCAGCTTGCTACATTTGAGTCTCAAAATGAAAGGTTTTGGGCAACTGTGTTCTATCCTTTAAAAGTTCTTAACTTACAAACTAAAGGAATAAATAATTTGACATTTTTACCATGAAGCAAGCATACTTAACTCAACAGATGCAAATAGTTTCAGAAGCATTTCGCAAAATCCTGATTTTTCCCAGGTTGATATCAACTCCTTTAACCATCCGGCAGAGACACTTCACTCTAGAGACGCAAAAGTCTCAGAAAATGTGCAAAAAATTCTGATTTTTGCCAGTTTGACGAAGCTAAGGCCCAAAATTGATGTTTTCAGCCAAGTATTTGTTTCTACATCACTGGATAGAGCGGTAAATAAAACATTTGTAAAGTAAAAAATATATTGAAAAATGTAGGCAGTTTTCACACAAGAAGCCAACAAATATTCTAAGAAAACTAATGGTTTTGTGCGTTAATATTTTAAATCGCAAAATGCACTCATAGACCACTCCGCCTGTTTCGTCGAATCTCAAAAACCCTTTGAGCTTTTTAGCTTTTTTTTCATATCTCAGGTATAAATTCAGCAAGCGCATTTGTTTCTACATCATTGGATACAGCAAATTGGATAAATAACACATCCAAAAAGAACAAGATCAATTGGGAACTGTCTGCAGTTTTCACGCAAAAGTTAAAAAATTGAAAATCAAGAGACAAGAAAATCGCAGTTTCACTGAACAGCAGTAGCCTAATAAATGAATTAAGCTAGAAATCTTGTGTGAGAAAGCAGACTCACCCTGTATGTTTGCTACATGAAAAAGTAAAATATTCATTTTCGTTTAATGCTGTGGTTTCGCTTATTTTTCAAAATGTATTGATTCCACATGATTAAGGCCCCTCTTTGCATGTCTGTTTTTCTACAGGGCGATTCAACTTTAAACAAAAAAAACACAGAAATTTATAAAACCGTTTGGGTAAAAAAGCTTTGTTACTAAAGGCCGGCTACAGTTACTAAAGTTTCAAAAAAACTCCCGGTTTTTCGCGAATATTTTTTTAAGTCCAAAATCAATTGACGCAATTTTGCATCGTATCTCAAAAACGTTCGTTAACCTATTGTTGAATAGAGAATTAACTGCCCGAGTCAATCTGGGAAACTTGCATGAGGAACTACTGGTATTTTTGACACAAACACAATATTTGAAAATCACACTTTCAGCTACAAATGTGCTCAATTAAAGGCTCAAAATACCCAACAATAAAAACGCATGGAGTGATCGATACTAACATCCACCGTATATCGACGCCCATTTAACAAATAGCATTAGAGAGTGTTGGAATCGAATTATGTTCGGTTGAAATTGTAGCATAAGCCCGAAGAAATCACTGTTAGTCGCTGTTGTGGTCATTTTTCACCGCCGCTTTTAATTCAATCGTTTCATTAACCTTAGCCAGTCAAAGCAAAACCAAATAAAAATCGTGCCATTTTACAATTAACCGCGACTTAATTTCTCGTTTAATTGTTAATTTTCCGAATTGTTTTCAAACAATGGTGGCCGATTTGCAATTCGACTGTTTTGTTCATCCCCCGGATCCACTTGAAATGCGATCAAATCGCAAAAAAAGCTGCTCGAATTTAAAACATTTCAAATGTAAGCTGCGTTCGAGATTTACTATTTGTATACCAGCCTCCAACCAACCAGCCAACTATTTTGATATAAAAAACCCTCCCTCGATAGCCAATTAAGTGGTTTTAAGAAATTTTCGTTTGTTTTAGGGTTCACACTGCAACCAATCACGACACTAGTTAGAACAGTCAGTCGTTTATGGACGAATGGACATCGAAATAAATCTGAAACGCAGTCGACAAAGTCGCGAATGAACCGTGAAAATGTAAAGTAGCACCGTGAGAAAACAAAAACCGTTTTAATGCTTCATTAAACAAATTTAACGAAAAGATGGCCTTTATTTTCCTGCATTACCAGCCTCGTCCCTTTTTATTCGGATCCTATATAGATTAATCATCCATTTAAATTAAAAACTTTTTCAATCGAATATTTATACAACAGATAAGGTTGTTAGCTTGAATGATGCCATAAAACTACAGAGGGTTCACTTTTTGCCCGCAATCTGGGGCGCATTATAAAGTTTGATGAGATGATCGTTGGGTTGCGATGATCAACTGATGGAAAATCGCCAGTTTTCCCAGTTTAACGCAAATGTTCCAATAGGGATGACTTAATGGAAAAACTGCCAATAAAATTTGCAATGAAAATTAATGTCCACGTCAAGTCATAAAGTTTTGAATGATACGGAACAATTAAAATAAACGACTCCAACCAGGTAATTTTCTAGTAATTACTATGTAAACGGTATTGTAATAATTGTGCTAACATGCTGAATCGTAAAAACCAATAGCGATATTGGCTGTTTAATTTTCCATTGTGAATTCGCGTTTAAAGCATTATTAGAGACTTAACTAAAACCTCTTCAAATAAGCTGGTAAGCAATAGAAGGACTTACCTCCGGACGAGATGAAGGCGACCAAACCTGTAACAAAACCACTCGCGATTCTGTCCTGTTGGACACCAAAGAAACATTTTAAATCCTTCCATTGCATGCGTTGTTCAGTCCATTTGCATTGCAACTTTGCATCAGACTTAATTTTAATGAAACTAAAACATTTTCACTTGCCGTTTCTCGTACAGTATTGATGTTGAAGGCGAACGATCGCGACCAAACCTGCAACAAAACCCCTTTTGATTTTTTCTTGTTATAGTCAATAAAAATCCTGCTAAATATCCCTAATATGCAACATGGAGAAAAAGAAAAACCGTGCCGACGAAAAGAATTTTTATGGCATTTTGTGGCAGCGCTCGGCTCTGTAATTTTGCATTTTATTAACAAATTGCGCCAATTCAGTGGCAATTAAAATAGATTTGAATGGACTATGCGCGGTCTGCGCGCAGTTAAGACAAAGATAATTTTTATTGTGGGGAATTACCCCTATTTTTTTCTTGTATTGTTAATGGCGACCAGCAGTAGTTCGCAGGATTGGCAGCCTAATCGGTTCGATGGAAAGAAGCAAAGGATTTCCATGTGGTTGAGAAAACAATTTGCCGGATAATTGTTACATTACCGCTAAAGTAAACTGAAACAAATGGGAAAATGACTATAATTCCCAGTTGGCCCCTCCCAGCCAATAAATTTAAGCAAACAATCCTATAAATTTCCGTTTAACAGGCATTCATAATAAAATTATATAATTATAGACGGATAAAGCCAATTGCGCCCGCATAGTATGCAAAACGCTCATTTAACCGCCTTGAAGCATTGACAGGCTCTAACTGTTGGTGACTACCGTCCAGTTATTATAATGAAACGATCGCCTAAAGGATTTACCAATAAATCCTTTCAACGCTTGTTTTAATCAGGTGTCGTTTTTTTTAAGTTGAGAAACTGACTCTACAGAGCGTCTAGAAGAAATCAATCTAAAACCATGCATTCTCTGTTTCAGAGCAGGAGGAGGACTCAACGTGTGGAAGCTCAAACTCAAAGTTCCCTCAGCTAATCTCAAAGGATATCGATGAATAAACCCGCAAATAATGACAAAGTTACATTTTGAGTAGAGCAAGTGAGGGCTAAAATCGAGCAAAGTTTCTTTGAACCAAAGGAATCAACATTCAATTGCTTATAAAACTATTAAAATCCAGTTTTTTTCGATGATTTTGATGTTCGTTTGAGTTCGTTCGGATTTGTTTCGGCTCGATTATATGACAAACAAAGTCCGAATTTGGTTGTTGGAATCGCAGGAAAACCAGCTGATTTTGAATGACCCTAAAATTGTTTTGTGTTTTTTCTGCGATTTTGAGAATACTGTTTATATTCTGATTTATTTTCCTGACTGCTTGTACTTGTTATGATATTGCTATCTTTTGTGGGTCTCAGTCAAAGTGTGAACTCGAAATTTTGAATATCGTTTATTTTATTACGTTTCGGCGAGACAACATCAGATTTAAAATCTACATGAACTCATGATTGGTAAAAATCAAAGTTCTTTTAGGTATTTGCCTTCTTGAAACCTTAAATTTGGCTGAATTATTTTCTACATTTTAGAAAATGTATTATTACATATGCAACACCTCAATTTTTTTTTCAATAAATTAATTGTTCTCCAAGTGAGACTGCTCTTATAACTTCGCCTTCTTCTTCAGTTCGTCTGTGTTCGCTCCGATTCGTTTTGGTCAGTTTCACTTTGTTAGAATTCATCTGGGTTTTTCACAATTAAATCACAGCAAAACACTGCCGAGTGTCCTGAATTTTCATTGAACTCAAATGAAGCTTTTTGCAAAATCAGTGAAAAACGTGTGTTAGTTTCGGTTACTATTAGATGGTTTGGATTTGTTGGGGTTAGTTTGGTTTCATTTGGGTTCGCTTGGGTTAGTTTCGGTTCATTTGGGTTGGTTTACCTCGGCTTAGTTTGCGTTACTTTTACACAACTAAACACTTGAAAAATCCGCATTAATGAATAAAATTTCCAAATTTTTTTTTTTAAATACGGAAATTTAAAATCCGCGTTATTTCGCGAATCTGTTGAGAATATTTCAGAGTTTCATATGTAGTTTTTTTATTGATTTACCAAGGCAGTGACTTAAAAAATTTCCAAGTGAATGCATTTCCTTATTGCATGAGTTTTTCAATAAGTAAATAAATTAGTTTAGAAAAGTTAGAAAGAAAAGGGGTTCGAGAGAGTAAAACAAATTCTCAACTTGTGCGAAAAACAATCTCAAAATCAGAGAGTTTGGAGGGATTTTCTGCATACAAACAATTAGAGTATAATGGATTTATAATCTGATGTGAAACAAAGAACAATTGTAAAATTCATAGGTATTTTTGTATTCGAGTCAGGGTCGTGCCCAAAGGACTCGGCACCAACAATCACATTAGAATATAGTGGATATTGAAGTTGAACATCCAAATTAGGATGTAACGGACATGGTTGTTCGAAACCATATGAATTCGCCCTCTATTTGAGTTTTTAAGCACAGTAATATAAAAAATTGCCTCCAATTCGCTGGTTTTAAATGCATGATATTTCAAATTTTTTTTCACAATTCCACTTAAGAGCACAAAACCGCCAGTCGCTCGCTTCTTATAAATTTTGGAAAATAAGTGAATACCACAATTTTATAAATATTTATCCCGTAAATCCGGCAGTGTTTTCAACATTTCCTTATGGCATTTGGTTTTAGAGATATTTCAGTTTTTTTTTGGAAACAACGTTGTTGGAATTAGCTCAAAAACGGTTTATGGTACAAATCTGCAACATTTTCTCTGATGCTTTTTCTGATGCTGGAATATTTCATCCAGAACACCTTTTCTCTCTCCCAAAATTAGTAATGCAAACGAAAATAAATTGTGAAAAATCGACACAAATCCTAAAACTTCAATTTCTCAAGCAAAAACAAACAAAACCTTCCAGAGGTTTGCTTTCACAGACAGTTTCTCACGGACAAAACCATGCCAACATGGCTTGGTTTGTTTTGCAAAAAAACCCGGGAAAAATTGTGTGTAGGTTCTTAAAAGACTGAATTTTCAAAGCTGGATAAAGTCCTCAAATCTCAACTAAACGGGTTCATTTTCACTCAACTAACGTTGACAAATTCTTTGTTGTCGGTGCATTTAAGCAGGTGAAAACCAATAAATTGGATTGTATTATTTGTCTGGCACAGAAACCACTTGAACTTTTGATTTGGTAGCTGGAATCAACTGATTTTTTTCAGTTGATGTACTCACTATTTGTGAGCATGTTTGGGCCCTTTGTAATACATTGGAGCATTCATAGTTTTTGCGCAAAAAATGATTGCTAAATATTTAGAACTTCCTTTAATTTTTCGTTTTTGAGCAAAAATCAACACAAATTTGTAGGTTTTTTGTAACGAACCTCAAGACACTAAACCCCAAAAAATAATGAAAGTGGAACAAGAAAAGTTGAAAGTCAGAGAGGATGAGGCAGTTCATCAGCCGTCCAATTAGTCGCGTTGATCAATTGCGGGATTAGCATGCAACAGTCTTAAACGGATCGACATGCATTCGGCATCCAGAAAAACCGATACGTAGAAAATTTGAATTGTAAAATGATGGGATGACAGCCGGTAAAAAATTGCCCACAATGGCCACTCAGTTGCAAATTATAACGCGGCGTGTACGCCAGTTTTTGTGCCGATGTCGGCCGCTTTGAGCCACTTGCATACATATCTACCAACATTTAAATAATTTATATGTATGTACGCATTGGAGAGTCACTTTTTCAATTGTACCGCGAACAATGCATCGGACGAAGACGGCATCTGACGGAAACTTGCTCCGGATGACCACTTGAAATCAGTAGCGTTCTTTCGAGGTCCAGCTTAAAAATCACCAAAGTTCCCAAGGGAAAAATTTCAAGTGCATTTACACAAAGCGTTTTGAAGGGACCTTGATGGGTCAGTTTCGGTTTTCGTCCCATCTTCAACTAGCGTCTCTGTGTGGTCTTTTAAATTAATCAAATTTCTTCAGAATAACGAGAAGTTGACGCATTTAAGTTTCATCAGTCTCCGCCCCTGTCGAATAATAATCCGAAGGCAAAAACGCCCAGTTCGCATCATATAAAAGTAGTGGAAAAAACAGCAGCCCGTTGAAGAAAGAATGGAAACAGCCGAAGAAAATAAGGTAAAAAGCAGAAAATTGCGCGGCGAAAAAATCGTCCAAGCAGCTTTTTATGTTTGTGGGAATTGCACGTTCGCTGTATTTGTTCTTAATTAAAACCAAATCCACGAAAGTCGCATTGATCGCATGCGACAGTTGGGAACGGAGGCCTCATGTTTGGCACTGATAATTTGGGCATAAAAATGCGAAGCGTTTTTCCACCAAAACAGCGTACACAATTAATTATTTGTTTTTATAATTTTTTTACGC